TATAAGGTAAGCCTATTATGGGGTATTCTAAGCAAGATTTGTCCAGGGTGAGAATTGCCAGGTCTTACTCTGAGGCTGAAAGAGTGTGACTTGCCCAAGGTCACCCTGGGGGTTTCCATGGCAAGTGGGGATTTGAACCCTGGTCTCCAGATTTGTAGTCCAATGCTCAAACCACTACACCACTCATGCTCTCTTTATTATTTAACAATTTTATTCTGGATAAAATTAACATACTGCAGCAATTTGAAAGTATCCCGTTTGCTATTAAGAACAAACGTCTTTTCAGTTCCTCTTTTTGCATTAGTGTGACAGCCTTGCACTAAGTGCACAGATCCTCAGTCACTGTATACGGCTTGTTTTTCAACAGTTAAGCATACTCTTCAAAGCAGATTCAGTGAAATTATTTTACTGAAAACATTTATTGTGACACTGTCTAGAAGACTTCTCGCAAAATGGGGAAATGCTTATTTTAACTGCATCAGCAGATGGCCTGACCTAAGGCATGTAAAGAAATTGTGCCACGACTCAAAAGCATCTAGACAACAGCTTGACCATTGTATCCTCCCTGGGACATCATGTTCAGAGGAGATCAAAAGAGGTTGACAAAAGGCTATAATCTTTTATCAGAGTGTATAATGAAAGACTGAAGGGAATGAGAGAGAAGGAATTAATGGGAAGTGCAACAAGCCATCAGCAATGGAATTTTCCTCCTTGCATCCAAAGCTACGTCATTATTCAGTAGTTTTAACTTACACTGAAGAATCTTAAATTATCTATTAAGGGGAAAAACACATAGAGTGTAAAACATACATAGAGACAGTCCTCGAATTACAAACATCAGACTTACAAACAGCTCATAGTTAAGAACAGGGGTGAAACAACAGGAAGTGAGATAAATCTATCTATCGGAAGGGAAATTCACTCCTGAAAGAGTTATCATGGGGGAAAGGGGCCTCCACTGAAGCTTTCTCACCAATCATTGTTTCCACAAGAAGCCAAATTTTTCAAAATACAATTATTACAGGCACAGAAAGTGAGGGGAAATCTTTTAAATGGAGTCACGGACACAACACCACAAGAGTGCTAACCCTTTCCTGTGCTATCCAAAGCTTCTATCTATCTATCTATCTATCTATCTATCTATCTATCTATCTACAGTGTTCCCTCACTTATCGTGGGTGTTACGTTCCAGGACAACCCGCGAAAAGTTAAAATCTGTGAAGTAGGGATGCTATATATGTATATTGTATTCTGAGGGTGCGGCAGGAGGAGAGATTTAAAGGCACCCCCCTTTTTTTGGTAATTTTGTCTGCTTTGCTTTGCAATCTCTCTCCCGAGGGGAGGGGGGTGAAGCCCCTTTCCACACTCCATCGTTGCCAGGAGGTGGGATAAGAACACTGCTCTGGGCAACAGCAACCATTCATAAACTGGGAGGCAAAAATCCACGAAACAGCGAGTCCGCAAAAAGTGAACCGTGAAGTAGCGAGGGAACACTCTATCTGTCTCTATCTGTCTATATCTGTCTGTCTATATCTGTCTGTCTATCTATCTATCTATCTATCTATCTATCTATCTATCTATCTATCTATCTGTCTATCTATCCTAGTTCCAACTTACAAACAAATTCAACATAAGAACAACCCTACAGCACCTATCTTGTTCATAACTTGGGGACATGGGAACAAGTCCAATTGACTGGAATGGTGTTACTTGCAAGAAAATATAGTTAACATTGTGCCATTTGCGAGCTGCGACATGAGCCTGATCTGTCCTTTTCTCTGCACTGATGAGTATGACGGTCGCTCATGTGGACAGCAGAGTGGCCCAAACTGGACCCAAATTGTGTGTCCACACTGCCCTGAAAGAGCAAGGTTACTTTGGAGTTTCAGGAAAACTCCAGCGCATCCAACTTTTCCTAATGTGGGGCTAAACTGGATTAACACAGTTTAACCCTTAATACTTAACAGAAATGGAGAAACTTTGTGTGAACAGCCAGGAGTGAACTAAGAGAGAGTGGAGATTATAATATCCATATAGATGAGACCATTCATATTTTGGATGTGTCATCATGGCTAACAGAGTAGGGGTCTTGTAGCATTAGTGTGTCTGTGTGTTTAGTAACACAAATATGTGTGGTGAAGCCATATTCCCACTATGAATACACTGATTATTTCCATCTGTGGAAATGTGCAGGCATCATCATTGACAAAGTCACTAGCTGGTGAATTATGGCAGTGTTTTCAAGGATGCCGTGGGCGTGCCTATAATTTCCTCTTCTTTTTTTGTATTTTCTGGTTCTGTGTTTTAGCCTTGCCCTCCCAGGCTCTGCATCTATTGGGTACAGAAACCATTCCACAATGGCATATTTCCAGTCCTGGATTTGTTTTGGAAGGAGACAGAGTAGGACTTTCCCCACATCAGACAGAATGCACATCTGTTTTCACAGCGACACACTCCAGTTGACCTGGAGGAATTTCATAGCAGTTGATACCATAAATACTAATGCAATATTAATAATAGCTGTATGATGTTGTGCTCTAAACTAAAGAACAGCTCATCTGGAATTAAACCTGGGCGAGGGAGAAGGAATGTGGTAAGGAATTTCAGGTTAGCTTAAGCGTTAGCTTGAATAATTTTCACACACAGAAAGCAAATCTGGCATTTAAAAGGCTTTCCATTTCAGTAAATGGGAACTGTGTAATTCTCCTTCCCACAGTGCCTTTCTATTGGTATAAAGGTCTCTAAACATGTTTCCAAGCACTGCCCATGAATGGCTCCTGCTGATGATTTTTCCTAGATGTTTTAACTACAAATTGGATTTCAGTAAAATTAGTCTTAAGCCTAGATGCTGCCATCTGACCCTCTTAAAATACATACATTGGCTGGTTGGTTTGCTTGTTGGATTATTGTTGAGGAGACCACCTCCCATCACACCCTTCCTAAAACCAGCAAGAATGAATTGAAATGCTAAAGGAAGTGCACTTGATAACCTAAAAACAGCAGAGAAAAAAGCTATTGCCTACATGACCATTACGCAAGTCTCTCCGGGTGATAGTGTTTTCGAAAAGGTCTTTTATGATTATCCAGACAGATTAATAAGAAGACAAGTGAACCATTTTGAGATTTAAATGTTAAACCCACCACCTTGGATGAAAAAGCAGTTGGCAGGCACTTACGTTCTTTTAGTTCTGATCTTAGGAGCCCCAGGTGACACAATGGGATAAACCCTTGTGCCGGCAGGACTGCTGACCGATAGATCAACCATTTGAATCTGGGGAGAGTGGGTTGAGCTCCCTCTGTCAGCTCCAGCTCCCCATGTAGGGACATGAGAGAAGCCTCCCACAAGGATGGTAAAACATCAAAAACATCTGGGCATCCCCTCAGCAACGTCCTTGCAGATGGTAAATTATCTCACACCAGAAGCAACTTGCAGTTTTTCAAGTTGCTCCTGACACACACACACACAAAAGGTTCTGATCTTGGAAGCTAATCAGGGAGGCTGCAATTGAGAAAGAAACTGGCAAAACAACCTCTGAATATTCCTTACCTAAGAAAACCCATATAATTGAGGTCACCATAGGTTGATAGATGACTTGCATACACACATATTGTGATTTCATTACCATAACTAGTTAGGAGTTTGTTGAATTTGGCTGCGATCACTGGGTTGCTGTGAGTTTTTGGGGCTTTATGGACATGTTCCAGAAGCATCCTCTCCTGATGTTTCACCCGCATCTACGGCAGGCATCCTCAGAGGTTGTGAGGTTTGTTGGAAACTACACAACTGGGGTTTGTATATCTGTGGAATGTCGAGGGTGGGAGAAAGAACTCTTCTCTGTTTGAGGCAGGTGAGAATGTTTCAGACAAGAAACAATCAGGGCCAAGTAATCACTTCCCAACAAAGGATTACCCCAGGCAGGAAGCAGGCAAACTTTGAAGCTGCAAGGCTATTCAGTGCTAATCAAGGTGTTCAATTGCAACATTCACACTTGCCTCAAACAGGCAAGAGTTCTTTCTCCCTCCCTGGACATTCCACAGATATATAAACCCCACTTGCCTAGTTTCCAACAAACCTCACAACTTCTGAGGATGCCTGCCATAGATGTGGGAGAAATGTCAGGAGAGAATGCTTCTGGAACATGGCCGTGCAGCCTGGAAAACTTACAACAACCTAGTTAGAAGTTCAAACAGACTTTTTAAATTGTTTGGCCTTTTACTAATTATAATATTTTGATGATTTGTCTAATTTTTTTCTTTTTTGATGTGATTTTAGTATTACGGCTATTTAATTTGTGTTTTCTGATGATGCATTGATTATTGATTTATTTAGTAGAAAGGAGGAATTTAAAAGCAGCCAAGAAACTGCCTACCTCCACAGAAGGTGCTTGCCTGAGGCAATTGCTTTACTTTGTCTATCGGCAGAACTGGGTCTTCAAAGCTCCTTGATTTTCTATCAGATTGTGCCATGAAACAACAATCATCACGTGACTAAAGAGCCTTACAATACAAAGGTTTCCATCCTGAACTTGAGAGTGGGAGGAGGGAGCAAATCCCTGTGGTTCAGAAACCATCACAGCTGGATTATTCGGAATTGTCCCCATGGATGTTCAACCATTCTGAAGGCTAGCTTTGAGCATTAAGAGCATTAAGAGATTCCTTCTTTTCACATTCTATTTTTAGCTGAATATTCCACTGCCAGGACATTACTTCTTGAGTTATTGCTTTGCAGATATTGGATGAAAAAAGTTTTTAATACTTATGTGTCCTGGCAGCAGTCAATACAACTTGAGCTCATTAGCCATTTTACCTGTTTCAGCTGTCTATAAATTTAGACTATTCATGTTTTCAGGGAATATAACCTTAATTTTACTTCTACTGAGTGAAAAATTTATTATAACTGCTGGAATTATTGTGTGTTTTTCAATGTTATAAAAACAGCTCGGAAAGTCCTTGAATGAAGGGCATTACAGAAATATGTTTATATACATAATATATATCACCTTGTCAGCTCCAGTGCTTCCATGAATATCTGCTACTTCATTTGGTTCTTCTAACACTCTTCAGCTCCTGTTCAGTCTTGCGAATACCTTTCTTTCACTACTATTTCAAAGAAAGGCTGATAATAAAAACTTCAAGTTTATTTTATACTAAATTAGTTGCAGCACTTTACATAAATTATCTAAAGATTAAACTTGCAATGAAAAATGCATAGCATCCGGCTACAGTATCTTTAATTTTCTATTCAGTACTGTATATACTCAAGTATCAGCCGACCCCAATATAAGCCGAGGCACCTAATTTTACCACAAAAAACTGGAAAAACTTATTGACTTGAGTATAAGCCTAGGGTGGTAAATGCAGCAGCTACTGGTACATTTCAAAATAAAAATAGATATCAGAAAAATTACATTGAGTCATTAGTAGATTCATTTTTCAAAGAAAAACAGTAAACTAGCTCTGTAAGTGGAAAACCAGGGTCAACAAAAACAATATAGTATCAACAATGACTTAATAATAATAACAATAACAATAACACGGACATGGACTATGAGATTGGCTACGATTCTATA